ACCGACTCGAACTAACGAGGGTAACAGCTAACTTTCTTGAATACCTGCACGTTACCAACAAAGGGCAACATTCAAACATAAGGGGTGAGATATCGAACTATATAACATGACGTATGATAAATAATATATCATAATCAAATCATATAAAATCACCACTTCACAACTTTCAAACATCTTTAATATCAACAAAACATCAACACGACATAACAACTAATTCACAACCTATAAACAACAACATATTCAACAACATCAATGTATTCGACAACGACTTATTCACATTATAACCAATTTCACAAACTCAATCATCTTCATATAAACTCATAATATATATCATTATACATGTGACTCACAACTCGATGCAACCAATGCAAATGCGGTACCGACTTGTGGACCCAAAGTTCCACCGCTTATTTTTCCACATAGGATTAAAGCCACTACGTCTATTTCCACTATAGGATCAACGTCTATTTTTTTTTGAACCCAAGTTTCACCGCCTATGTTCCGTTTCCGGGTCAAAGCCACTACGTCTATTTCCATTCAAGGATCACCGTCTATAAAATGTGAACCCACTGTTTCACCGTCTCTATTTCAAGACCAACCATGCCATGCAATGTACAATCAACAACTCGTATGCAATTAAGGCCACTTCCGACCTTAACATACACATACCACATATTCCAACATAATGAAATACCAACAATTGTACATGCATTGTAAATATAATTCACAAATCAAGTAACATACAAGTTTAAACAATGTTACTTCCATGATTTATTCAAATCAAACACAATTCCGGTTAGCCCTTGAAAACGTCGAAATCTAAAAAAATAACTCAACCATAATTACCTACGCATTTAACTTAGTTACCCCGTCAAATTTCATTAATTTCCGGATAACTAATTTTTACCGCCTATACCGGCAAATTGGAAACAAACACAATTCCATAAACCGGAAGCATTCAACTTAATTCGACTTCACCTGTAAAATTCACATTTTTCAACAAAAATGTCACCCAACATATCAACCAAAATTACTACCATAAACTGCATAATAATTCGGACTGTTTGGACTAAATTCGGTTAATTAATTATCGACTAAAAATTCTACTATTTCTACTTTATAAATCCTACAAAATTATTTATTAAAGACATTAAATCATTATTATTATTATTATTATTATTATTATTATTATTATTATTATTATTATTATTATTATTATTATTATTATTATTATTATTATTATTATTATTATTATTATTATTATTATTATTATTATTATTATTAATTAACCAATTAATTAATAATAATCTTAACAACTTATGCCAACAATTCTCAACCTCTCACAACTTCAACAAGTAATTCAAAAATAATTTAATTAAATAACTAATTAAATTATCGGGTGTTACAACACCAACTCTATATTTTCTCAAAGCATTAGCGACTATGGTACGGTTCACACTATTATCATCTATATGCAGTTGCAACTGAGATTTTTTTGTTAGTAATCAATTCCTCGTTCTAGCTGTGGCTCCTAACTGTTTCTTTCATTCTATATACATACTTTCCGCAAGCTTATGGAAAAAGTAAAGATTTTATTGCTAAAGTTAATTGAATTTTACAGTCTAATAATTTGATATTACATAATAATACTTAACCAAAATCAAAAGATGTGATACAAATAAAATTAAATATTATAATGTAAACTAAATCAAGTAATTCATCCTTCACTATAAAAAAAGGAAAAACATGATCAGCAAGATAAAGTTACAGGATAGAAGTAACTAACAAAATATATTCTTACGCTACTGGATGTCAATTAATTACCTTTAAGTGCTACTTAATTCTAGCGTTGCAGTATGCAGACTAAGTGCCTCTAACTATTTCTTTCTAATACCACTACAGTAACAAAACAAGCACATTAGATGCTACTATATTCTATTGCTACTGTATTGCAAGTTAAGCACTTCTAAATGCTACTTTATGTCAAATGCCATTAAATATTATTTCTTCCTATGCGCTACTGTATACAGAAAATTGGAATTTTTGCAAAGAAAAATACTAAGGTACTTTAATATATGTATATCTAATTATATTGGATCCTAAATCATCTCTCAATTTTATCAATATACCAATTTCAAACACACTAGAAATAATTTTTCATAACCCAAATTCACATATTATTAATTATACACTCTATTATAGAGTCAGAACCTCACTCTTACCTTGGATTAAGAGCAACTTTAAGAGACTTCAACCAAATTTTTAGGGAAAATGGCACCTGAAGAAATTTCCTCTTGTTCTTCTTCTCTTCTTCCAAACCCTATTTTCCTCTTCTAATTTTCTTCCTGATACAATACTCCCTTCTATTCTTCTACTTCTATTTTTATATAATAATCATATTTTATTTAATCTTAAAACTCAAATGAGCCTAAAAAAGACATACCCCTCTAATTACTACACACCACCACCTATTGAGTTCAATGTTACATTTAAGCTTAATAATAAAATAACACTTTAACTTAATTCCACCAAATTAAATCCGATTAGTTATTATTCCAACTTAATAAAATAATTCTGACTTCGACGATAAAAATTTGAATTAATATAAAATATTTAAAAAATATTTAATTAAATAAATAATTAAATATCGGGGCGTTACACTAAACCTCCCTTTGTGTTAAAGGTTTCAAAACCAAATCCAAATAGTCAAGTTGTACAATATTTTTTTGTGTTTGGAGGGTGAGGATAATGGGTTGAGGATTTTTGTTCTTCTGTTTTGTGAGTGAAAACAGAGTTGAAGGTAGGCAGAGTTTTATGAATGAGCTAAGTTTTATGAATGAGCTGAGTTTAACAAAAATTCTGTTCTTCTCTGCTCTCTTTTTTCTCTTCAAAAAATCCCCCTATGTCTTATGGAACAGTCTCTTTTGTAGATCCTTGACCGAGGTTTAGGAGGGAAACAAAATAAGTTATTTTGAATTGTTTTTGCCTACTGCTTTGATACTTTTTCCACACAATTTTCTTTTACCATTTTGGTACAATTTTGTGGCTGTTATGATGCAGGTTGGAGCAGATTGCATAGAGCAGTTTTGGACTGGTTTTTTGGATATATTTTGAACTGTATAGGACAACATATGCAGGTTTTTGTGACAGGTTTGTGGTACAGCATAGCACAAGGTTTTTTGTAGGACAACAATGGAGCAGGGTTTTGGAGTGTTGTGGCAATGTATAGAAGTAGTATATCATACTTTGTTCAACAATAACTTGGACAACATAGTTTGCAGCATGAAACAAGTTTGGTTTGTGGAGCAATTTATGCAAATTGTATCAAAGACAAAGCCTTGTGGAAAGGTTTTGAGTCAAAGGAAAAAGTCCAAACAATACAAAGTTTAGGATTTGTAAACTTGCAAAAATGCCACTTTGTAATAACTTGAATCATTTGTAACATCTTGAACTATTTTGAATTGTAGTGACAAGATGTCATGAAGCAATGAACTTAACTTAGAAAAATTTCCAAGTCTTGCAAAAGTTGGATTTTTGATGATCAAATTTCATATTTTGGATGTCTTGATGAAATATGATTTTTGGGACTCAACTTTAGTTAAAAGTCAAAGTTTGACTTTTTAGTGTACAATTGACTTTTCCCACCAGTTGACCGAATTTTGTCTATCAATCCACTGATCTCAGGAGATGAATTGAAATATGCGAATAGGTCAAAATTACGCGCTCGGATCCTTGAGATCATGCTTCCAACCAATAAGCCAGGTATTAGGTCAAAAATCAAAGTTCGGTCATTTTCAGTCAAAACCCTAATTTTGCCCATTTTGCCCTTTTGGTAATTTGAATGACTTTCTTGGAAAATTGTGATCCAAGACTTTAAACTTGGAAAAAATAATCCTGAGGGTCCATAATGATCCATGAAAGTCATTTGAAATATTAGAAATCCAACTGCCTTTTTACAAACTCAAACCCTAATTTGAGGCATCAGTGCTGAGGAGATTATTTGACCTAGTCGATACTTGCGCAAACTTGAGACATTGAAGATCTTCGTAGGAAATATCTTGAGAAATGAGAGGAAAATTTTTAAGGTACAACAAGTAGTCTTTCCAAATTCAACCAACTCAAAAGCAGCAGCATTTGAAAGTTCCAAGGATGCTTCCAACATTGCATTATTTTCTGGAGGATGAGTAGCTAATTTATATATTTAAATTATTTAAATATATTTTAATTATTTCAATTATTCATATATATTAACTGATTTAAATTAATTAATATTATTTTAATATTTTGTTATTATTTCACTTAAAATATATTTTAATAATATATATATATATATATATATATATATATATATATATATATATATATATATATATATATATATATATATATATATATATATATATATATATATATATATATATATATATATATATATATATATATATATATATATATATATATATATATTTAAATAATAAATTAATAATATTAAGCATAATGAAAGATTTACTAACATATACTAAATATGTTTTAATATATTTATGTAATAGAGTTTTTCAAATAATTAAATAATAGTATTAGATAAATATTGTGATATATGTATTTGATGTAAAGAAGTAACAAACAGAATGCTTTGGCGTAGTGGCAGGGGTGACAAATTTTAGCTTTTGTATTTTAGGGCGAATTCAAATTTTTTTTATAAGTTTTTTTTAAAAACTCGTCCATATGACAATGAGCGAAATAGCTATTAACCGTGGAAGTAATAACAAATTTATAAATTCGGTCATAGACATAAAATGATCAAGGAAAATAGAATCGAAAATAGAGAAAACGGACATTGATTATTCAAAATATTAGTACAATATACCCTCAAATTTAAAATACATCTAAAAAACATATGCAAAGAAGAAAATCACCTCCTCTTATATAGTAAAAGAAGGTGTTACAAACAACAACATTATTTCCACAAAAATAGTACATCTGTAAATCCGACTTAAATTTTATTCAATGTACACTTGTTTAATATGTGATATCTTGTGCCAATCACATCCAACTCCTGGCTGATATCTTCCAAGTAATTCAGGAGAACCTACAATTCCTAAAACTTCAAGGTTTGGAAGGAAACATGTATCATCAGTGAGCGAAACCAGTTTAGAACAGTTTCTAATCACAAGTATATTAAGACAAACCAGAGTCAATGACCACTCATGAAGTTTATATAAATTCTCGCAGTTATCGATTTTCAAAGTGTGTAATGTGTTTGCACATCCTCGCAACCATTGTGGAATACTACTAACCAGTTGAGGCAAAGAATCAAGACATAGCAACTTCGACCTTAGATTGGAGATTTCATTGTCATGGTCAAATGACAAATTCAACTTATTGCAATTATCAATCAACAAAGTCTCTAGGTTGACAATAGCATGAAGTGGAAGAGACTTAAGATTCTCACACAAAGAAATATTCAAAAATTTAAGACGGGGAAGCTGGATTCCTTGAAACAGTGACTCCAAATTGTCACAAGAAGAGATAGATAGCGATTCTAAATTAGCCAATTTTGAAATCTCTTTGTTTGGAAAATTAGACTGCTTTGTGGTTATCGATAACTGTCTAAGGCTGATCAAATTCCCTATTCCATTGGGTAATATTTCAAGTTTTGTGCATCCACCGAGCTTCAAAGTTATCAAATTCTGGAGTTTGCAAATTGAATTAGGGAGGCTCTTCAATTCTTTATTACGCGCCAAATTGAGATATCTCAAATGTTTTAATTTACCAATGGAGCCGGGCAAACTCTCATATGTAGAATCAGTTAGCTTCAAAATCCGCAAGAATTTACACCTTGATGTCAAAGTATTCAAGAAAGCTTCATTGTTGGCTTCTATAGGAAAAACTATGGTTCTCAATCTAGTGGGCATTGGTGTTGGGCCAAGCAAATCATTTTCAAAAAATGACAAATGGAGGACATTCTCGAGTACATTTTCATTATGAAATTTCACCAATTGAAACTCATGTTTTGCAACATACAAAGCAAGATCGTGCACTAAATCATGCAACTTAAACTTACATGAACTGCCGAGGACTACAAAGTCTTGAAGAAAGGATCTTGACCAAAGTTCGTGCAAAATGCGATTGCTAACATCTTCCACGGATTCCCCCCTATTTGGTGATGGAAGAAAACCAAGTGCCTCCCAAAAGCCAGTAAGATGAATATTTAAGAAATGGAAGTCCTTTTCAAAAAGACAGAAGCAAGAAAAACATTGTTTTAAATAAGAAGGTAATTGGTCATAACTTAGTTTGATAGCAGGCAAAATTGTATCTTCTTTTTGTGGTAAACTCCAAATCTCATTGTCCCTAACAAACTTCCACTCTTGTATATCAATTTTTAAGAACAATGAACTCCCCAATGTTCTTAGAGCCAAAGGAATTCCTCCACATTTTTGTACAATTTCTTTCCCAATCTTCATCAACTCTGGATAATTTGTGTCCTCTCCATCTTTAAAGGCCCAGTAGACAAATACAGACAGTGAGTCCTTGCTAGAAAGACCTTGCAAAATGTAAGTTGTGTTAGTGCTCATCATTTTAGCGATTGCATGGCTACGCGTAGTCACTAAAACTTTACTTCCATCATCCCCAAATTGGATTAAATTATTCAACTCAACCCATTTGACACGATCTTCGTTCCATACATCGTCCAAGACGAGCAAGATTTTTTTACCACCAACTGTGTTTCGCAAATGATGTTGTAGCTGCTCTATATCAAGGTTTCTAAAGTTCTCTTTGTGAGTTAAGTTAGTAGCAGAATCACTAACACTAGCTGAATTGAGAATTTTAACAAGTAAATGCTCAAGTTCAAAATCATCAGACACACATACCCAAATCTTCAACGAAAAAGACTCATCTACACTTTTATCATTGAATACCGCCTTTGCAAGAGTAGTCTTTCCCAAGCCTCCAATTCCAACAATAGGAATAACAGAAACACCTTTATCACCTTGCAACAAGAGATCAATGATTTTTTGTTTATCGTAATCTCTTCCTATTACATCTGAATCTACTACGTGGGAATGAGTTAACTCCCGCCTTTTTACAAGACGGTTATCACTATCATTGATCTGAAGACCAAACTTAACCCTATCAGAAGCAACCTTATCGAATCTCTCTTTGATATGTTTGATATTATGTGCCATCTTAAGGCGATAAACAAGAGGATTTGAACTTGAGAAGAAACGTCGTACCTTCCTAGTGACGGTACCTGAAGAGTTGACCACACGCTTCCTCAAAGCCTCGCACTCGAAATCGTCGATTACATCTTCGGCGTTGGAGAAGACATGCTTGATCTGTCGTAGCCATTCACGGAGCTCGTGGTTATGCCGTTGTTTTTGATCGGCATCCAGCAATACAGCTTTGATAAGAGAGACGGTGTCTTTTATCTCTCGCAGATGGTTGTAGACACCCAACGCTAGGGAAGTTTCTTCAACGGCACGAGAAGCAAGCTTACTGATGAATGACTCGGCGAGACTGAAGACAAGAGATTCTGCCATGTTGACTGGTTTTGGTAAGGAAATGAAGAAGACAACAGTGAAAACATGGATGACTCTACGGAGGATGTGGTGTAGAACGAATATTTAGGACAGAAAATATCATTATAAAAAGCCAAGTATAATTATTTTTAGCATAAAATGCATTAGAAACATTAAAAATAATATCTAATATATAATTAAACAAAATGGTGTTAGATGATTTTTTTTTTTTACAAGAGAAAACTTAAAATTGTCTATTAACAATAATAAGAATTTGAATACATATAATGGTAAAATTGTGAAAACTAGCATAGTATGGAGTCACCTGCGTAAGGACATGAGTAATTTCATTGGCTTGTCTCCTAGCGAATTTAATATGAGAGTTCGAAAATAAATGAGTTAACAACCGGTTACATTCCCGTGTGATAGAGCCAAAGTCTGTGTGATTGGGATGTTGACTATACATACTATCCACGACACTTTTTACATCCATCTTAAAGTCGACGTTGTTGTAACCGAAATCATATACCCGCTCTATAGAACCTAATAACCCAAGTGCCTCCCTCATCGCAACTTCTGTGATAGGAGAAAACCATTCCGTTCGGGCTGCAATAAAGGATCTTGTATCATTTCTAACGTAAGCGCTTATACCAACCTTGTTATTAGAAAAAGAAGTGTTGATGTTGCACTTAAGACGACCCACCGATGGTTTATGCCACTTAGAATCAGAAAGAGGTTGGGAACGGTATGTATTACCTTCCTTCAATTGTTGGGCATTTATCCACCCAAGGAGTACATGCGAAGCACGAATACTGATGGTATCCAGAGAGTCTGTGGCTTGGTTCTAAATCTAGTTATTTCTACTTTTCCATAAGCTTCACAAAGTAGTTGAGAAGATAGCTTGTTGGTCCTGATTAAACACCTGTAAAAAAGCAAAAACAACAGCAGCAACTGATACATAAATATTATGAAGTTGTTGTAACTTCGCCCCAAATCCTACTTTTTCCAAACATTCCTTGCTTTTAGAGCACTGCAAGAATAAGTGTTCATTACTCTCATCCTCGTTCCCACAAACGCCACAGTTTGTATGATAATGCACGCCTTTGTCTTTTAGGAGAACTCTAGTAGGTACACAATTCCTGCAGAGTCTCCAAATGAAAATTTTCACTCTTGACGATGTTTTCAGCTTCCAGATTAAATCTGAATTCTCCTTTGTTCTTAGGTGAGAAGTGTCAATGGCTTCATCTTTACAGTAATGATAATCACTACGAACAGAGTACTTACAGTTTCTTTTAGAATTCCATACCAATTTGTCGTCCTGGACTAACTCGAATAGCGGGGTGTTGAGAATCTTATATGCTACTTCTTTACCCACTAATGGTACAATCAGATCAAAGTTCCACTGCTTACCAAGAGTGCTTATCAACTCTGCCACTTCCATGTTTATGTTAGACCTCTTGTAAAGAATTTTTACAAGAGGAGAAGAAGAACATAATATGGACAGTAGGCGGTTACTTATTTTTATTAATAGTTTCTATTTATTAATATTTAATAGTTAATAGCAGTTATGAGGTAGTTATGGGCAGTTATGGATGATGTGAATATAAATTAAGGAAATCATATGTTGGAGGGGATATTCAGAAAATATTTGAGTGGTTTATTGAAAGGGAGAGATCCAAGGCTCTCGAAACCCTTGGTAGTAATAACATGTGTTTTCAGTGACATTTCAATTATGTAATCATGTGAGTGTTTGTATTCTCTCTCTGTTTGAAATATTTTCTCCATAGAATATTCAATAAATCTCTATTCTCATTTAGTAGTTATATTCTTGGTACTAGTTTCTATCAACTTGTATCAGAGCAAGTAAGATCTGGGTTAAACAAATGGTATCTACGCGAGGAGATATGGAGGTGAGGTTGGATTCATTAGAGCATGGATTGAATGGTTACTAAAGATGATGGAGCAGGATAGGGCCGAACGCGCAGAAGAGAGGGATGAACATGTAGAATCAAGGCAAAGAATAGACGAGATGATGGAATTCTGGCGCAGGGACAAACGTGGAATTCCAGAAGGTTCACACCATAAGGAAAATCATGCTGACAATGAAAACAATATTGTCCAAAAGGGTGTTTTTCGTCCCCGTGAAGAAAGATGGCACAAATTGGAGATCCCATTTTTCGAAGGATATGATGCATATGGCTGGCTGAATAGGGTAGAACGATTCTTTGAATTGAAGGGACTGAATGAAGGAGAAAAGTTATAGGCGATAATGGTAACGATGGAGGGGAGGGCACTGGCTTGGGGATGGAATGGTTATCAAACCTTGGTGAAATAAGGTCTAACTTCAAGGAGTTAATGATTAAAATACACCTTGGTAATAGATACCATATACTTAAGGGAGAACCAGAATTGGCAAGAACAACAACTTCATTCAAATCCATCATTAAAGCCATTAAAGATGAAGGGCAGGGATTTTTCTTAGAGTATCAGAATTTAGTAAGGAAAGGGACCCATGATAACTCACAACCAAATTGGTTACAGGCTGTCTTGTGTGAGTATGAAGATAGTTTTCATGAACCTAATGGATTACCTTCATCCAGACGACATGATCATGCCATTGTTCTTAAAGAAGGAGCCAATATTCCAAATCTCAGACCTTACAGGTATCCACATTACCAGAAAAATGAACTTGAGAGGTTAGTAAAAGATATGCTCCAATCTGGTATTATTAGACTTAGTGTGATCTCCTACTCTAGTACCATTATATTAGTTAAAAAGAAAGATGGTGGTTGGTTTTTTTGTGTTGATTATAGACCTTGAATAAAGTAATTGTACTAGATAAGTTTCCAATCCCTATCATTAATGAGTTGCTTGATGAATTGAGAGGAGCAACCATTTTTTCGAAATTGGATTTAAAGTCAGGTTATCATCAGATAAGAATGAAAAAAGAAGACATTTCGAAAACATACTTCTGAACCCAGGAAGGCCATTATGAGTTTGTTGTAATGCCTTTCGGACTCACTAATGCACCTTCTACATTTCAATCTCTCATGAAAGATATGTTAACGCCCTATTTGAGAAAATTTGTCCTGGTTTTCTTTGATGACATTCTGGTTTACAGTAAATCTATGAAGTAGCATCAAAATCATCTACAAACAATACTTGCATTATTAAGGGAGCACAAGTTGTTTGCTAATAAAAAGAAGTGCACTTTTGGACAAACACAATTGGAATACTTGGGGCATATTATTTCATGGGAAGGAGTAACAGCTGATCCTAAAAAGATTGAAGTCATGATGGAGTGGCCCGTATAAAAAATCTAAAGGCTTTAAGAGGTTTTTTAGGGCTCACGGGATACTATAGAAGATTTGTTCAAGATTATGGAAAAATTGCTAGACCATTGACGCAGTTGCTGAAGAAGGATAACTTTCATTGGAAAACGAAGGCACAAAATTCTTTTGAGCGATTGAAGAAGAAGATGATGGAGTTACCAATACTTATTGTTCCAGATTTTTCCAAGGTGTTCACAATAGAGACAAATGCTTCAAATAAAGGATTAGGGGTTATTTTGCTGCATGAAGGGAGGCCTGTAGCTTTTTTTCAGTCAAACTTTGTCGGAAAGGGCGCAGGAGAAGTCGGTATATGAGCGAGAATTAATGGCTATCGTAACTGCGGTTCAGAAGTGAAGACATTATTTAATGGTAAGACATTTCATCATCCTCACTGATCAGAAGAGTCTCAAATTTCTCTCTGATCAAAGAATCTTAGGAGAAGAACAATTCAAATGGACTTCCAAACTAATAGGTTTGGATTTCGAAATTTAGTACAAGACGGGACATGAAAATAGAGTTGTTGACGCTCTTTCTAGGAGGATGACTTATGCAGCCATGTCTACAGTAAATTTGATGATTTAGAAGAATGGGAAACAAACGTCCAAACTGACCCTAAATTGAAAAGTTTAATACAAGACTTAATGCAAGATGCATACTCTCATTCGGACTACACTTTTAAGGATCGAAAATTGTTCTTTAAAGGAAGGCTAGTGTTGCCTAAAAATTCTTCTAAAATTCGGATGTTGTTGCAAGAATTCTACAATTCAGCAATGGGAGGACATTCTAGATTTTTCAGAACATATAAAAGGAGTTCAACTATTATACATTGGGAAGGTATGAAGAAGGACATTCAACAATATGTTTCTACATGTGAAGTTTATCAACTAAATAAGTATCAAACTTTATCTCCAACCGTTTTATTGCAACCACTTCCTATTCCCACTAAAGTTTGGACTGATATTTATATGGATTTTATAGAAGGATTGCCCAAGGCCCAAGGCAAAAATGTGATTTTAGTAGTGGTGGATCGTCTGAATAAATATGTTCATTTTGTCCCACTAAGTCATCCATTTACTGCAAAGGATGTTGCTTAAAATTTTATTAAGGAATTGGTTAAATTACACGATTTTCCATCTACTATTGTATCTAACAGGGATAAGATTTTCCTAAGTCATTTCTGGTCTGAATTGTTTAAAATGGGAGGAACAAAATTGAAGTTTAGTTCAGCCTATCACCCTCAAACTGATGGTCAAACAGAGGCTGTCAATAGATGTTTGGAAACATACTTAAGATGTTTAATAGGAACTAAACCCAAGCAATGGACTAAATGGATGGGATGGGCAGATTTTTGGTTCAATAGTAATTATAGCTCCTTGAAATTGACTCTATCCAAGGCACTATATGGTAGAGATCTTCCTCGTTTACTTAGAGGAACCACTATCCCATCTGCTGTTGAAGAGGTAAATCAAATGACTCAAGAAAGGGATCACATTCTTCATGATTTGAAAGATAATTTGATAAAGGCTTAAGTTCAGATGAAAAACTATGTTGACCAATCCAGACGTCTTGTTACATTTAGTGTAGGTGATTGGGTATATTTGAAGCTTCAACCATATAGGCTGAAATCTCTGTTAAGATGATAGAAAGCAGTTAAACTGTAACAGAATTGAATCACACTTCATTGCTCTT